CCCACACTGTGACAATTCTATACAAAGGAGGCCCTGTCAAAATAGTCTTTCACTAGACAAACACAAGATAAAACAAAAAAAGGAACCCTGAATTTTGATAACTCTACACAAATTGTGGGATTTCATCTTCAAGGTCTTCAAATTGTTGCATTCGTTTTAGCTTTGGCCTCTGGCACATTGGAGTCAGATCAGGGAAGTCATGTTCCTCAGAGTTTCCTTTAGGCTCACTATTCAGCTGTGCAGGACAAGCTGATGTGTCAGCTGAGTCCGGAAGTGATTTTGTCACCTGCCCCTGGGCAGTATGAGCTGAGCCAGGAGGCACTGCTGCTGTGGGAGAAACCTGTTTCTCCTCACTCCCTCTGATGCTGCTGGTGGGAGTGTGTGGCTTATAAAATGTGGTGTGTGGCTTATAAAACGTGGTCCAGTGCTGGGGCTGCAGTGTTCTGGGTCCTCTGACAGGAGCAAGAGGGTAGGAATCCGAGGACCGTCTCTCTGACGTCTCTCTTGCTGACCTGAGTGGCTCTGTATAAGGCTTACTGAGCTGGGTGGCACTACTAGAATCGTCTCCACTGATCCTGACTGGCACTCCTTTTTCCTGGAGAGTACTGGGCACTATTATTGTACTCTTGGCAGTTAAGTTGTTTGGTTCACATTGTTTGGCCCAAGTTTTTTGTAGATTTTGCTGGTCAACGCCATTAAATTTGGAACAAATAGTAGAGGGAATATCTTTTATGTTAAATTCTTCAACAGTAGGATTCTTGCAAAACTTGTTTGAATTTACATTTCTCATATTTTTGCCATTTCTCTCAGTAGGAGGGCTTGTTTGAAGTAGTCTATCTAGAGGCAAACTTACCGGCCTAATCTTGGTCCTTGGAGTATGCCTCCACACACTGTTCGTTACCCTATCAGATTTCACAGTAAGTAGTTTAGAGGTTTTACAAACATCCTCCATCTTTTGGGATGCTGATTCAAGCTCTGGGTCTGAAAAAGAAAGATTTATTTAACTTTGTGGTTCATGTTTAACAGGAAAGTTACAAATGGGCACTCAAAACAACAGCATTGTTACATATTTTTCCGAACTTGATAATTTCAGTAGGATAAGCAGAGGAGTTAAATATTCATACAGTATTTATCTAAATCAATATAACAGCCACAAAGCACATCATAGGTTAGGAGAAAAACAAAACAAAATATTTTCTAAACTAACTTATTTTAATATAATGCCCATGAATAAATAATTTTCTGAGTCAAAGACTGTCATGATTTCAACAGGCAGAAATCAGTAAACTAACTGCAGAAAACTTACACCATTGTGCAGGTCAACCAAATGTAGGCATCCCCTGAACCCCAAGGATTTTGTCAACACTCACTTAGCCTGCTTTTCAGCTACATTCAGTCCATAGTGAGAGTACAGCTTGTTAGAGGCTTTGGATATTCTCCATAGCTGATCAACTAATTAACTGGAACACCCATTAGGTCAAATTAAGGTAAAAAAGTTGTATTTTAAGTTAAAAAAAAAAAAAGCCATTCTCTCCATGTACTAGTTGGTCCTAGATTTACTTTCTTTTCCTCTAGTCTGTCGCCTGATCCATGTTTTCTCCTCCAGGGCACCTGACTTCTCATATCCTGTCCCCTTTGCTGCACCCCCATCCCCTAAAAACTCCCATTTCTGGAAAGGTCCAGCCCTCTGCTCACACTCCTCCTTGTTGCTGAGAGACATCAAATGACTCAGCACCTTGAGACTACTCTGACTTGCAGTGCAGCTGGCCCTGTGCACAGCCCACAGGCCTCTGCCCTGTCACCTGGTCCTTCTCCTGCACCCTTGGGCAGTGGTGTGCAGAGAGATGCCCAGCAGCATCACTTGTCAGTCTTTGTCTCATCTAACCTCCTTCCTCACCAGCGGCTGCTGGCCCCTCTTCCCTGGGTCCCAAGGCAATGCTCTTGTGATTTGCTGTCCCAAGCCCTTCTCCACAATTACAGAACACCCTAATGGATGTGACCCACTGCAGTTGGCTTGTAAGCACCAAAGCACATCCTTGCACTTGTAAAGGATGAATTTCTAGCACAGTGGAGAAGAGCACAGGCTCTGCAGCCACCTGCTTGGGTCTTGGCTCAGCTCCTGCTCTACTTCTGCCTACCTGCCTTCATCTGTCAAGAAGCACTCCTATGTGCGTCTATACTGTCCTACGGTGTAAGTCATCTAACAAGAACAATGCTTAGAACTGTCTGGTATATAATGAATAGTAGGAAATTATATTTTTAAATTATTTTCAGTACTATTCCTAATTGGGATTCCAATCTGTGAGATAGTGATAAAAAGGTTAAGTTTAGGAATCATACAGGAGTAGGTTCAATTCCTAACTGAATACTTTGTTAGGTATATGTATGACTTTTGCCATATTAATTTCTCAGACTGTTAGCCACAGGTCAAATGAGCCTAATACTATTTATTTTATAGCACAGAAGTGTTAGGAAGATCACATCAAATGCAGTAAAAAAATAAGCTCAGTGATTCACAGTGAGCAGACAAGACGACAGTGAGCAGACAAGACGTGGCTTCCTTCCTCTACAGACATTCCAAAGCTATGCTCATTGATACTGATTATATATCCAATTTAACAACCAGAACTTTATTTTAAAAATCAGAATTTAGTGTTAATAATGGAGAATTACAATAACAAATGGAAGCTTTTCCACCAGCTTACCAGCTACCATTCATAACAATAAAATTATCAGAAAAAAAACAGTGAATAAAATGACCACAGTCAGAAATGTGAGACATATGTGTTTAATGTGTCAAAGGTAGGCCACAAGTTTGTGAAAAAAATTTTAAAGTCAAATTTTAAAGTCTGGTTTGACTTCTTATGAGCAGTTAGAGCAATACCTTGAACTATAATATAGAAGATGCTATGAATTAGCACACTGTTCAACATATTTCTGCCTTGACTTTATCGAGCAGAATCAATGAGGAAAAAATTTTCAGAAGGAGCACAAAAAGCACATATGAATTCCAAGATGTCTTTTTATATAAAAGATATTGGGATGAATGGTGTTCATTCAATTGCAAAATACACTAAAAGGTACCTTCTCAGTGGCTAGCAATGATTCATCAACTAACGTAATTCTGAAGTTTGGATTTCCCTCAACTCCATTTATCTTCATTTTTAATCATGGCTTACTTACTAAGTTTTATGTCAGCAAACAGATTTTTAACATGGCTACTCACCAATGAGACATACATCACATTTTCCCAATGCATTTTGCTTGTGTTCTGATTCTTCAGGTGATCGAGTTGGTTGAAAAGTGTTGCTTTCACTATGGATATCCTGTTGATGATGGAAGAGAATTTTTAAACTTGAAAAAGCACAACACCTCAAAATAAATAGTTGCAAGATTGTTAACTTATTAATGTTCTAATACAATTCTATAAAAGGTCAAAACTCACTTCCTTTGAAGAAAAAAATAGTGACTTCATGCAGTGTTCTGAATCTCTTTCTTCTGGTGATAACAGAGGTTTCAGAAGAGAGCACTGATCAACCAGAGGTGCAACAACACCTGCACTGCATGTAACATCTTGTAGCTGCAAAATCTTCTGTGAGTAAGTAATGAGGAACTCTATCAATTGGGCCTGATTTGAATATTCAGCAAGGGAGGAGATAGTTACAGGAGCAGTTGTGGGCCTTGGCCTAATTAGACTTGGTCCAAATATCACTCCCAAGTTTTTGGCATTCATCTTGTTTTCTTCTGCATGATCTACTACCCTGCAAAACAGAAAATACAAGCTGAGATTTGTCTGTTAGAGCTCCTTAATAGTGTTTTACTGTAGGGTGGGAAATGTGGAAGAAAAATGGGCTGCAAAAGTCTAGGAAAAGTTTGTGAAGGGCCAAAGGTTACAATTATTTGAGTAAAATATTTACCACACCAAACTGGGTTTTATAGTTTTGTTACTAGGATAAAGTTCAAGTAATAGAAGAACTACTGATGTTTTACTAGAAGAAAAAAAAAACCTCCTAAAAATTGCTCCCATCTGAGTACATGATACATCCTCTCAGTTCCTTATACTGGAAACTGAAATATCACTGCAAATTTCTCTCATTGACCATAGCTAGTTTTCAAGCCAAGTTTATTCTCCTTAAAGGTCTCTTTGTTCAATCACGACTTCTACTCCTGGCTTTACTTTAAGCTCTGACAGCCTTTTATTTTGATGACTAGTCAAGACCTGAACTGCAGCAAAGGTCTCCCTTCAAACCCATTTTCCATACTTCTGCCACAAAGATTTAACAGGCAAATCTGAGCATGTTAAATTCCTGGCTCAAATACTTTAGTGGGTACAGAAACAAGATGATCAAACTCATCTGCTAGGTATGTAAGATTTTATTATTAGTCCTCTAGCTAGCTCAGTTCCTATTACTGCTTGTTATTTTGTAGCCTAACCAAGTTAACTGTATTTCTCAGATGCAAAATGATGTCTTGTCTCCCTGTCTGTTACCTTCCACCTAGAATGTTCTTCTGCATGTAACCCACCAAATCACTACTCAGTTTTTAGATCTGATTCAAGAGCTTTCTTCTTTGATTTACTCCCATCCCCAACCTTCCCCTGCATGCTGTGTGTTCAGCCATTAGAACAAGAATCATGTGGTACTGTGCTTGTATGCAGGTCTATCCCCTAAGATGATGAGCCCTCAGATGGCAGAAACCTAGCCAGAAGCAAAAGGAGGTTATCTGAGGAAACAATGTTAGCTGCACGATCATATATTAAATGTCTCTCTTTCCCTAATGACATAATAACAATGAAACATTTAAAAAATACCTTAACATGTGCATTTATTTAACAGTACTGCACTGTACATTTAAAAGTGGTTAAGACAGTAAATTTTATTTAACAAAAAAAACCTACTCACTAGTGGATGCTCTACTTATATAAAATTCTTACCGCTTAAGATGTAGTATGAGGTAGCGAAGACTGTTAAAATTTGATGCTGGCAATTGTCTTAGGAGGTCCTTGCTTTTTAGAAGAATTCGGTTTATTTCTATACACGTATTTGCATATTTTTTGTCCTCAGTACTATCTTTTTTTATCTCTTGTTCTTCATTTACATGTTGGATCTCTTTTGTAAGGTCTATAAATTCCTTATACAATCGGAATAAAATAAATGGTTCTGGGAGCTAAGGAAATAAAATTACATTAGGAATATTATTTTGTCTGTTTTTTCTCTTAACAGTCAACAATTATTGACAGCTACTCAATGACTCAGTTGACAGCTACTCAGCATGTCCCCTTAGATGAACAAGATTTAAATTCAATCTTTTAGATCTCTCCTGCCGCTCCCGCCCAGAGGAAGGGGCTTTTGGGCCACCTTCTGTACCGCTGCTCCAGGCCCAGTGGAAGGGGCTTCTGAGCCGCAGTCCCACTGCTCCTGGTCCAGAGGAAGGGGCTTCCCAGCCACCATCCTTCCTGTCGATCCCGGCCCAGAAGAAAGGGCTTTTGGTCCGCCTTCTGTCCCGCCGCTCCCCGCCCAGAGGAAGGGGCTTCTGGGCCACCATCCCTACCGCCGCTCCCCACCCCTGTCCCACCTCTCCCAGCTCAGAGGAGGTGATCTACAGGGGCGCCAACAGCACCCCCCCAGTCGAAATGAGAAAACACATAAATAAGTCTCAAAACCAGACTTCCAGATCACCTACAGCAGCCTCAAAGGGAAAGGAGATGGAACACTCTGATATTCAACCACCTGGACCCACTGAACTGGCAACAAAAGGGGATCTGGAAAAAATGAAATCAGAAATAATTT